GGCATTTTCTAATTTTAAGACCTAAAATTGAAAACATGATGTAGTAGATGTGATTTAAGTTAGGGACAGCTGTGTTGAAGTTGTACAGTAGAAAATGTAATGGTATTACAGAAAGGATAGATTTAGACTTGTGGAATGAGGGTAAAAGCTTTTTGTACTGAGCAGTACTTTTTGTTTCTGATCCAAATAAGAGAATGCAAGTCGCTGATTCTGAAGTGCTCTCATAATCACACAGTACTGTATTTCAGCCCTCACATCAGAATGTCTGCAGACCTCAGTGACAATCCTTGTTTTTAGCTTTGTGTTAAATGCATTCATTTGCACAAAAGCAAGGCACTCATAATTCACCTGCAAGTCAGATACAAACCACAGAGCTCCTTTATAATCATACCACAGCCTGGCTGCTGTACATCCTAATCCCAACAGTTGTTGAAGAAACAGTTTTGCCTTCAAGATATTCATTCAAACCATTGTCATGTATTACAGGGACGCTCCTGTATTGTTGAGGAAGTATTAGAGAAGCCCTGCTGTGCCATTTGATCCTTGGCCTGAGCGGGGTCAGTGCCTGGCTGGCACCAGTATATGGAAAAGTCTGGGAATGTGTTAAGTCTGACAGTCACTGGGGTTTTTCCCCCCTCTTGGGAGCAAAGTAAATGTGGTTTATGAAAAGGAAATAATCCTAAAAGTTTTGCTCATGATAGATGTCTAAACTCCTATTTTATACAGTTGTTTCTACTATTGGATCTGCTTTGAAGGGTACAATGAAGAAACATATGGGCAAGCCCAGCTCTAAATAGCTTTTCCTTCCCTCTATACTTCATGTGTCTGCAGCCACACACAGACTGAGTGTTATAGAATAGATTAGATCCTGAAAAACAATGCTCCTCTTTCTATATATTGAGAAGGACCCTGATCTATTAATTTAGCAGTATAAGATATAATCGATGACCCAAAAGCTTTCTGTCATTCCTGTGAGTTACAGCTTGCCATTCCTTTAAATAATTGAGCAGGAAGACAAAAAATATTATTTCATCCATAATTCTATCTCTATTGATATGTGAACTATATAAAGATATCCCAATTCAGGCTCACTTGGAATTTAAAGTTGTATGTGCTGTTTGGCAACAAAGGAAACAGAATTTTTTCCTGGGCTGCCTGTGGTGGTTTTTTAGAACTTGAAGGAAAGCTCCATATGAACAGAACTGTAATGTTAGCCAACCTGCCAATCAAGACACTAATCCTCCACACATCTCTACCATCAGGAGACAGATACCTGGAAGCTGGTATGCAGGAGATAAAGGGGAAAGTTGGACAGGAACCAGAAAATGTTCAAAATAAAAATTAGATACATATGTCCAGATATATTTTCCTTTAAAGAAACCCTAATATGAATTTTATTAAAGAATTTTAACCTCCACAGATATACACAGGGCTGTATGCATGTACTCATGGTTGTTGGTTGCTTCCAAACACTCCCTGGAACACTATACCATCTTTACAGCATTTCCAGACAAAGAGGTCTTGAAAGTGGAAATAACTTCACTGGTTTAATTTTTAGTCACATCAATGACTGTGGAAGGTATATTTAACTATTTAAAGAAATAGACAATATTTTTATATTCAAGTCTTCACATCTGGCTACAATAAAAATGTGGCGAATTGGAGAAGCAACAAAACTGTATTATAATATCCACAGCTCACTATCATTGAATATTAAACATTGTGTTTTTATCCACTGCAAAAGAAAGAAATGTAAGGATCTCTACAACTCTGCTGTCCATTTCTACTATTTTCTAACACATTAGGTTCAAGCAGATAAATTACAATAATTTAAACAAATATTTTCTTTTCAGATCTTCTCTTCAGAGATTGTAAAAAATTCTTCAGGTAATTGTAAATGTCATTTCTACCCACAACTCTTGATCTGCAGCATGCACCCAGGCCATTCATAACAGTAATTTGAAACTCCAAGTTTAGCTGTTTTGACCACAAACATAAGCTACAAGAACTGTTCATGCTCAGTGATACACTGATTATCTTTTTTGACATTAGGCTTGTCTTAAAACTCTGTGTGAAGTTATGAATGAGAATTTTGGGTTTTGTGAATATTCTTGCAATACTTAAAATTGGCTGGCTCCCTAAGTGTTCCTGCCAGTAAAGTAATTTGCTGGAATACTGTTGGAAAGCAAATACAGAAGGGGTGTGAATACAGTCAAAGAGAATTCATTTGCAAATCAAATGGATGGTGGAAGAGGAGTTGCATTCAATGAATTCAACAAAGACACTGTCACAATAAATACAAGAACATTTGGCAAGGATAACCTTTGCAAGACTTGCTATCTGTGTTCTGCAAAGGTATCCATATGTGTGAAGTTCCCATCTCCATGCAGGATTCTGTCTATTCCAACAGATGCAGAACTGGCCTATGGAACAGCTTGCAGAGCCAGATCACTAGACTAGCATTAACATTTAAAGCTGGAACTGAAACAGCTTTTCTGAAGTCATTGTATAAATAACTAGCCCTTCTATATAGGAGGAGGAGAAGCTACATAATGCTTTATTCTTATTTTATAATTTATTTTTAAAAAATCCAAGTACTGCCATTATTATCACTACAGTGTGGGAAAGAAATTTAAAAAAAAATTAATTGTGCATTAGTAAGAACTAAGTACAGGAAATTTATATTTCAACTCTCCTATTCAGGAGAGCACAGAAAGATAGTCAGAAGCATTAAAAAAATAAACAACAAAAAACCCACAATAAACCCAGGAAACTATTATTTTCTCCTAAGATTCATGAAGAAACAGAAAACCAGCTCTGTTTACCTCACATTTCACACCAGTAGGTAAGTCCACTCCCCCAGTTATGGTCACTTGCCTCAGGACAAATTCCTTCTGCACAGAGATCACATCACGGCTCCCTGTCAGTAGCTGCTTGTAGCTGACTTGTCCTAAGCATTTACTGGTGTTGTGCAAAAAAAAAATTGACTTCATATTTCTGCAAAGGGCTGCCAAAATATTTATTCTGGCAGTAAAATACAGCAACTGGGCAAGGAGCTTCCTCCTGATCCTGTACTGCAATGGTATCAAAACCCTGACAGGAGATCTCAGGATTCACCAAAACAATAAAAGCCCATTTCTGTTCTCTGGTCTTCTGCAAGTGAAACCAGCAATGAAAGAATACAGCCACACTTCTCAAGTCTTATCCATACCCTTCCTGGCTATACTGTAACTGGCTAAACACGACAACTTGAGTTGAGGCTTGACTTGCGAATCAACAATTTGACACTGCATTTTTTTAATAAATATAATTACATTCACTTTCCATAAAAAAGTTTAAAAATAGAAGACTTCAAATTTGAAATCAAGCAAAACCATCCTTTGAAATATTTGTCCTGGCTAACCTAAGATTTTGATTTCATTAGATTTCAAAATAAAAAATTTTTAAACCATAAGTTCTCTGTAGGTCTGTTAATTTCTGATAGACCATAGTTAGTATTTGTAGAGACTTAGGAAAAACAAGTTAATTGCAAAGCTTGCCTGATACCTTAAAAAAAAAAAAAAAAAAGAAAGTCCAGGTTAGGCAATAATACTTGTGTGGGGTCCAGCTTCCAGCTGAGCTCCAGAAGATAGTATAGTCCTTACTCCCTTTTTCAGTGAGACTGCCCAAAGGAGGATTATGGCACACTTGGTCAGTTCTGAGTTTGAACCAGGTTCCAGAGATGAAAGCACATGAACTAATCTGTTGAGCTATGAAGTTCACTGCTGTGCTGGTTTATAAAAATCCTATTAGCAGTGTGACTGAGGGGTCAAAAGATAAGATAGCAGACAGCTGGAAATGATGGATCAGACAAATATTTTAGACAAGAAAGGTATTTCTTAGCCATGTTGTACTTAACCATGTACTATACAACCAGGAAGTACTGATGACTAAGGGGGAACAGATTCTTCTATTGCTTCAGAATTTTTAAGTTTTAAAGTGCTTTTGTGCTATCTGCTAGGCATCTTCTGTCACAATGACTTAACATTCATTTTGGCCTCAGCAAGACATTAGGTAAGAAATGCATATAGCATACATAATTAGCAAATTTGACCAAAATAAGCAATTTTTTTTATTTATAAAGGAAAAAATAAGGAATGGAGTAGTCTGAAAACCTATCAGAGGTACCAATAGTCTTGGTATGCTTAAATGTAGAGAGGTTAAGAGCATATATTAAGAGCATATAAAGACAGAACCAGAGAGAGCCACCTGAATTATTGAAATCAGTCCCCTTAGACAACAATGAAGACAAACAGTAAATACTCAGTCCAAAATGTTGCACAGACTGGCCCTCTGTAGCATTAATGCTTTGCAGCTCCACACCTTTCCTCATGCCTTATAACAATGTTCAAGTCAAGTTAAAAAACTACAGTTAAGATTATTTTACAGCATGGTAGGGGAAAAAAAAAAGGCAAGAACATCCCTGAAGTATTACAAAATGGGGCAAAATCCCAGATAATCATAGAAAATGTAGTAACCATCCAGATAGGAAGAAAACATTGCTCCCATTCCAATCTCTATGTGTTTTTATCAGTCTGACCTGACAAAACTTTCCTTCCTGATTTCAAGTATCTAAATCATTCCAACTTGAGATTTGAGTTTTACACACACCAACCAAAAACCAGATAGTGCACCTGGAGGTAAGAGGAGCACTGACATTCTGCCACCATAGCACTGCTGGAGATAAGGTTTAAATACAAGGACTGGGAAGCTGATAGAAAGTTGCCAGAAAGGGAAACACGTACATTGGATATTGAGGACAGACAGAAGGAGGGCCTAAAAGGTGGATCTTGGCTGACCTACACAGAAGAGTAAAAAATGTGCATGCTCATGAAATATACACATTTTTCAGATTCAGAAGTATTGCCAGTAATAACGTGCTCCCAAACACCCGGGGTTTCAGCACAAGGCCTTTGACATTGTTGCTATAAACACAACATCAGTGGGTGCTGTCACCTTACCACAAAAGCTCCATCTTTCCTCAGTGATTCCTCACACACAGCTCCTCACAGCACAACCAACAAATCCAGCTCTCTTCTCAACCAGCTAACCCACTCTTTTATAGCCCTCATCTTTATTGGACAGCCATCTCTCCTCAGTGATTCCTCACATGCAGCTCCTCACAGCACAGCCAAAACTCCAGCTCTCTTCTCAACCAGCTAATCCACTCTTTTATAGCCCTCATCTTTATTGGACACAGCTGCGGCCTATTAAGGGCAGGCCTGTTCTTAATCTTTGGTAATTAGTACAGCTGTAATTTTCAGGGGTGAGATTGCCTTTTTCACTGTCTGTATTCTCTTACATTCTATCCCCCACAAGTGGGGAGTGGGACACCCCTCTCCTCATTCCTTGTGTTTTGCACCAGAGAATAATACAATTGTTTCCCCCTCAAGGCTATGGGCACCTCAGCTGACTCATGTTCTGTGTTATATGCAGGGATGGAACCCCTGCTTCAAAGGGTGATAGTCTTAGAGAGGGGGAACAAGGCAATTTGCACCAATTTGCCCAGAAACCAAACTTACTGCACTGTGCAAAAGGCAAAAATACTAAAAAGAAGTGTAAGCTTTTTGGTTTTTTTTTGGGGGGGTTTGTTTTTGTGTTTTTGGGTTTTTTTTGTGTGTGTGTGTTTGTTTTTTTTTTTAATTGAAATTCAAGTGAAGAAAGTTTAATGGTGTATAATTTCATATTTTTTTTATTAATTCTAAGAAAATTAGCTAGAGTTTGGGATTTATGAATTGAAATTTAATGGAGGTTAAAAACTTAGATATAGATCGGTCCATTGCAAGATTAATAAAACCTGCCCATGAGTGACACACTTGCAAGAAAGACTATTATGACTTCAGGATAAACCAAGTAGTCCTGCAGAGCTCTTTTGTTAAAGATTTTTTAAGTAATGAAAATCACATATTTTATTATTCCTATTTAAAGCAGTAAAAAACCCCAAACCAAAACCACCCCTCAAACAACCCCAAAACCCTGCAGTACTTTGACCAACTCTAGTGGCTGTTACCACAGAAATTCCTAGTAGTAGTGAAAACACATAACCAACTTAGAATCATTACATGCCTTAGGTTAAAAGCAGATTTAAAGATCATCTTGCTCCACCCCTGCCATGGGCAGGGACACCTTCCACTACCCAGGTTGCTCCAAGTCCCCTTCAACCTGGTCCTGAACACTTCCAGGGATGGGGCAGCCACAACTTCTCAACACAAACTGTTTCAGTGTCTCACCACCCTCATTATAAAAGTTTTTTTTCTCCTATCTAATTTAAATGTAATGTATACTTTTGAATATTAGATAATTAGAGACTGTTCCATAAAGTAATGTATTTTTTTTTTCTTATGTGACCTGCTAAGAGTTTTTCTACAAGATATAGCAATAAAAATTAGGTTTTTTACTGTCAGATTTTATATGCTTCCACTTATTTCCTTTAACTACTAATAGTATTGCAGCAAACATGACTTCTTTCAGTGCCCATAGAGATTGAAAAACTCAGATTAACTCTGCATAATCCAAGAACAATTTAATTATTTTTATTTGCAGGAGGTGACAAACCATGTTATTGATGCTGGAATCACTGAAGGATTGCACTCAGGAAATTAGGCTTTTTCCCACCCCAGACAAAAGCACTGTTTTCTCAAACCATTAATTTAACTTCCCTCCTTAAAGTGCTTTTAAAGAATTGTAGTGTTACAGTGCACATAGAGTCACTTACCTGGAAAATGATTTCTATCTTTTAATAATTTCTCTCTTTTAATGCATATTTTGCCATCAAAGGTGGAGTAACACTTAGTCCTTGCTATAAAAGACTCAATATCATTTTGTGTGAGAAGCGCTGTGTGTTATATCAACCGCTCCAGAAAGAAAAGAATTTCCCACTCTTAGTGCACACCTATTTCCTTACACTGTGCCACCTATCCTTAGATATGCCTGTAGAAACATCTTATGTGTATCACTAACTATTTTTCAGTGCAAAGCTGTTCTTGCAATTTTTGTTTCATTCTCAGAAGCTGTCCTAGGTTCCATCTCCCCTTTCAACTCTTATGGGGCTTAAAAGAAATGATACAAGCCTGAGTGCTTAGTTAAGAAAGGTAATACCTGTCCTGTGTTTCCCTTCAAGCTGACAATGCACACGGGACAATTTGATGCTGTTTCCAAACAAAACCAGACAAATTATTATAAAAAAATACTGTACCTCAGCCATAATTTCTTCATGGGCTGTGACTACTTTAATTTGGACAAAGGCATTTCTCAATAATAGGATCATAACACTGCCTCTGGTAGAAAATCCTCTGCAGAACACTGGATACTGATGCTGTTTGGAAGGGGCACAATAAAGTCATCTGTCACCTGAAATACTCATTTGGGAACCCTTCTACGCTGTAAAATCCTGAAACATAGTGATATGAAACTGGAATGCTTTTTCCTCTTTAAATTACAAGTTTCAGTGAATGTAAAGGTCTAAATATCATGGCAAGCTCATGTGATGGAAAGTACAGCCAGTAGGTTTTGTGTAATGTTCTTGTTGTGATTCTATACTGATGATTTCAACTTATACTGCACTTAAAACAGGAGTGGTAGAAACTTTTCTGTTACCTCACAGTGAGATGCTGTAAATCAGTATCAGCTCTACTCCTTACAAAGCATCCTTGTGCTCTAGAAATTGGAAACTGGAATGCATGTCAGCACAGAGAGAAAGACTATTAAAAAAGAGCTCCTTTCCCCAAAACAGTCACCAGTTAGGAGCTGCAAGCCTGAGACAGACATCTTCAAAACCACAACAAAAACAACTTACTGGTCAGGGAAATAATCAAATATTAAGAATCTGAAAGTACAGGAAAAAAAATAGAAACAGTTGTAGCTACTCCTTTTTTTTTTTTTACTTTTTTTATAAAGTAAAAATGCCTTGTAGATATAGAAGACCAAAGTTAAATTATTAATTTTGCCAAATATCTCCCATATGTGTTATTCATATCAGGCACAGGACTGCTTCACATGGGCTATATGTTTAGGCACATTCTGAAGAATATATATAAAAATATGTGCACATTCTGACACATGTACATACACAGATCTTCTCCCTCCACTTTCATCTCCTTTCATCTATCTCCCTCGTCACAGATGCACACACACCTCTGCTGAAATGAAATAATTCTCACTGCTTGAGTTGGCTACAGTCTTAAGTTCAAACTAGTGATTTTTTTTTCTTCCATGTTCACATCTATATTTTTTCTCTACAGGATTTAAAGCCTGAGAAGCATGAAAGATAGAGTGAAAATAAATTTGAATTCTATATTACAAAAAAATGTGAATATCAAAAGATTCTTTCACAGCTGTGTGACTGCTGGCATTTGTAAAGAGTCAAAGAATCCTGGAATATAAAAAGGCAGAAACACAGTTGGTTTTTCAATCAAGTATACGGAGAAAAAGGAAAAGAAAAAATCTATAGGAACAGCAAGAGGGGCTAGGGGTGGGTGACAGGTAAAACCTATTTCCTTAATTTAAACAGTCATTTCTAGAATCACTTGAGCAGGAAGATGATATGAAAGATTGACATATTCAGTTCTATTCTTTAAACTGTGGTTTGCATTTTACCGGCAATATAAGGAAGAAGATGAAAGATGTCTTTCCTTATTCCTCACTTAATTGAAGTGCCTATTTAGAATGACATTTAATAAAAGATACAATTTTTGTGTGGTTATTATTTGTATTGCCAGAGCATCTAAGAACTCTAGTGATAAACCAGAACCTTGCTGTGATAGTGATTCAGGTATTGAGAAATGACTTTGTGTGACTCTGAGCATGTTCCATATTCTGCAATGCTAATGTGAGGAACAAGACAGGACTACTTCTTTAATCCCCCCAGTAAATTCCTGTCTGCTGTTCAAAAACTGTAGCAAAAATGATTCTTCATTGATAGAAAGTTTCTGGCTCAAGAGGAACAACAGCACACAAAGACTCAGTGAAAAACTGCTTAGTTTGCCCTACCAGCTACCTAATAATATCTTGTAGTCTCCTGGGAATAAATGCTCAAATTAATATCAAACAATTTGGGGCGCAAAAGGAAAACTTTTTCACAATGTTCTTCTGAAACATTTTAAAAGAGAAAGTTCTTAGTGAAGTAGAAGGGAAGCTACTCACAAAAGGGTGATGCCTGTGCTCAGTTTTATAATTTCTCATGGTTTGGTCCTTTTCCATTTCCTCACTTCCTCTAATCCTCAAGTCACCCTCACTCTTCATGGATTCACAGGCTCCCAGGCTGGCACCAGTTACAATAACTCATTGTCACTAAAGAAGTTCTGCTCTGCGGTTTTCCACAATACTTCCACTACTTAGATACAGAATTACCATAAATTGTAAAAATTTTGTATTTCTGCGTTTTTAGAGCCTGATGACACCCATTAGAAAAACTTCTCTTTTGGTTAATTCTTTTAATTGTAACAGGTTCTTCCAGCTTGACCAAGAATAAAAGGGGTAAAATAAAAAGACTGTTTGGATGACCTGTAATAGAGAGTAAGAAGATGCTTGTTGGTTTTAATAAATTCATCCTGAATAGAGCTAAGTATCGAGTTTGTTCTGTATCTTCACCAAATATGCATAAAAAAATCTGCAGACATTAACCACAAGTGAGTGGTTTTGCATATTACATGGTTAGATCTTGAAGGTTCCTTGCAACCCAAACCATTCTATTATTCTATGATTACAGTCACTGTCAGTAAAAAATATAAACCAAAAATCAGATATCTGTCATGCTGATAGCTAAAGAGCTGAATCTGAGAGCAAGATACAAAAAATTTTCTTTGCATGGCATCTAATGGACTGAACTATAGAAAAACCCCATGAATACTGAAGCTTTTCTAAAGATTTTTTTATATATTACAGACACCGTTGAAGGAAGATCTGTTCATTCAAAGCTTGCCAGAAACTTGTTAGAACTTTTTACTCGTTATTACTATATTGCAGTTCATTGGATATCACAATTTTTAAACAAATTAGTCATTTTTTTCTAATCTCTCCTATTTTTTGGCTCTTAAACTGATAAATATAAAAAGCCTGACAACTCTGTACTCAATTTTATCTTGTGGGGAAAAATTTCAAAAAATACCATTATGGATGCACATGCTTCAGATCTTTTGAT